TACAGGGACAAGAGAAAAAAAATATCTTTGTGAAGAGAAACCACCCTGAGACAGGACTGGAGACATAGTTCAGTGATAAAACATATACTTACCAAATGTGCTGAACAAAACAAAAAGATAGCAGGTTAAATGGCATCACACCAAAAGTTTCAATTCACATTCCTGGTGGGAAAGAATATATTACTTAAGAAAAAAATCTAGAGAGGGCAAAGGAAGTAACATATTCTGAAGGCCTTGTTCGGGGTATTCTGAGCTCTGAGCGAGGACATTGGGAGCCAGAAGCCCTTGCACCCTCAATTATTTGGCTAAAAGCTTGAGGTTAGAACTCCAAGAGGGCAGACTGAGAGGGTGAAGGGAGGGGGCTGGGATCAGGCAGAAAAGCAATTGAATAAATAGATAAATGGGGGAGGGGAGTCCATAGTCTTAGGTCCGGAATTCTTGTAACTTCTCCACAAAATAACACTGTGTTTACAAAGGTCTGGATCCATTCAGCTTGACATTTCTCTAAGGGAGATCACACTTTGGCATCCCATTGAAAAACATATGCAACAAGTCCTAAACTTCTTCTCCCTCCTCCATCCCACTGCTACAGCACGGCTTCAGGCCTCACCTGGAAGATGCCCTCACGTTACAATGTAATTCCGGGGGTTACCAGCTGACCTGGACTTGGGACTGAAAGCAAACTCAAGTCTGTCTCATGGTTTCCTCACCACCTTTCAGCCCCTTCTAGCTCCGCTCTGCTGCTTTTGTGTTCTGCAGTCCTGACCTGCTGGCAGCACGGCACACCCCTGCGCTCACCACACATAGCTCTTCCCACTCTGTAAGAGCTGTCCACTGCCTGCCCTGCCCTTTCCTCTGTCTGTTTCGGGGCTGGCACTTGTCACTCAGCTTCAGCTGGAACTGACCTTGCAGGGCCCCTCCCCCACATTCAGCCCTCAGTGAATCTTCCTCCCTAACACCCTAGCTGCATTGTATATTTAATTATGCAGGTCTGCACCCTGTGCTGGGATGCTACCCACAGCAGTACAATGCATGGGAGCAGAGACTCAGTAACGATCACTAAAGCTAGGAGGCCAAGGAGAAAGCTCAGTCAGTAAAGTGCTGAATTCCAGCCCAAGAAACCAGGTTTTAGAAAGACAACCGTGCTGTCACACATTTGTAATTCAAGTGCTGGTGAAGCGGTGACAGGCAGATCCCTAGAACTTGCTGGCCAGCCAACTGTGCCTACTCACTCATACACACACATACACACGCACACACACACGATTTAATAAAATTATATAGGCAAAAGACACAGAAGAAGCCTGGCAGATCAGCTCAGGGCTAACTCCTGGCCTTTGCAGTAAAACGGACCCAGATGACTAAGCCTGTATGCAAGGGCCAGTAAGGGACCTGGCAGGTTCTCACACTTCCTTGGGCCTTGCTTTTCTTGCAGGTTATGTTAGAATAACATCTGCCTTAAAACGTGGGGAAATTGCAGATAAGCCATAGACTGGTTTCTGTAGGGCTCAGCACGGACTCAGTACGTGCTGTCGATAGAGGCACTTTCTAGGCGAGCCTCAGAAAGCACACGAGCAATGTGCTACCCAAACAAGACACAGATGGACAGCAGAGTCAGAAAAGGGGCCCCAGGCTGAGCAGAGCCATTCACTGCAAAGGCCTCTCCTACCTTGCTTGTAGAACGGCATGAATGCAAGGTCAGGGCAACAGTCTGAGAGACACCGGGGTTCTAATCCTACCAAATCCATCAGCAAGCAAACCAGACCCCCAAGCCCTCCTGCACCGTATGATGCTGTGAAATACAACAGGTGGACTCCACAGTGGCTGGCTCCAGAAGCACTGAAAGCCCATCCAATCTACAAAGAGTCACAAACACTCTGTGGACCACACGATGTTACACAGCAGTGTGTCACACTTCAAGTCCAAACCATAGCTCTGCAGGGTAAGGTCAGCCTGCCCTAAGTTCTCACACACATCCCTTTTGGTTTATGGCTTTACCCCTAGCAATCAGACAACACCCCCAAATTATTTTTCTACCCCCACTGAAGTTAGGCATCAGGTGGGCACAGTATCTGTAGCGGGGTTTTGTTGGTGATGGTGTTGGTGTTGTTTTTAGGTGCAAATAAAACTTTACCTCAGGCTGAACCCACTTTAAATCTCTCTGGAGGGCTGCTCCCCTGGGAAAGCAGCTATCCCAGCTCCAAACTACAGCTCCAAATCAACATTTTTCATGGTATTTCCCACCGCCACCCTGTCCAAGCCAGCATCCCAGGTCCGCTGGCAGAAGCTCCGCTGGCGATAATGATGTACTCACTTGAGGAGGTCACCACCACAGAAAGCTGGCCTTCACTGCCCTTGCTCCCTCTCCCAAAGCCAGGCCTAGGAGAGGACACAGCAGGGACGTGGTCCAGAGCCTGAGGGCAACTGAGCTGAGGCACTCTCCCTTCAGCCTCCAGGACAAGAAACAGAGGCATGGGGGAAAGGGCAGGAGGCGGGGGAGGGGGCTCGACTTGGTTTCTGGAAACAAGAATTCAAATCCTGCTTCTCCCAAACCCTGAGTCACTGCCTTCCCTTCCAATAGATGAGTGTGGTGGGTAAACATTTCCATATATGGAGAAGAAGGCTGGAGGATGTCAGAAAAATCACCCTTCTCTCTGGCACTTCAAGAACATGCCCCACGCAAGGCAGATCTCCTTACGTAGAGTAAATCATTAACCCTCACAGACATGGGAGTCACAACTGCTACTACCACACACACCAAGACATGGAGTGTCAATTACTACCATAACAAGTGTACACATATACACACACACACACACACACACACACACACACACACACACACACACACA